CTCCTTTATAAAATGTCGGTCAATTTCTAAATGTCTGGTTCGATCATGTTGTATAAGATTATTTGTTATTTTAATGGCATTCTTGTTATCACTGTGGAGATTCATTGGTTTGTCATAGAAAATTCTCAAGTCTTTTAATACGCTTTTGACCCACATTAGCTCATGAACTCATTCAGCCATACCCCGAAATTCAGGTTCTGCACTTAATCTTGCTACTACTTTTTTGTTTCTTTCTTTTTCAAGTAACTAAATTACCTTCCACGAAGGTGAAATAGCTTGATGTGAACTACCTTGTTGTTTGAGAACAATAATCCTCGGTTAGGGGCACCCTTTAAATACCTCAAAATTTGGTACACTGCACTCATATGATATATGCTTGGTTTGTGCGTAAAGCGACTTAAGACACTTACAGCATATGCCAATATTTGGCCTTGTATGTGACATGTATATCAGTCTTCCAACCAACATTTGGTACTGACCAATGTTTGCTAGCTTTTGATCTGGAAATATTCCAAGCATATGATTCATATCAATTAGTGTTTTTGTTGGCTTACACGTGAGCATTCTAGTCTCAATAAGGAGATATAGTACATATTTTCTTTGTGAAAGAAAAATACCTTGTTTTGATCTTGTTATCTCAATTCGCAAGAAGTATTTCAAGTCTCCCAAGTCTTTCATTTCAAATTCACTTGCTAGTTGCTTTTGTAAAAGTTTCATCTCATTTATGTTATCTCCTGTCAAGACCATGTCATCTACATAGACAATCAATACAGTCACTCTTCCTACTTTGTGCTTAATGAACAAGGTGTGGTCAACATTACTTTGTTTATATTTGCATCTTCGTACTACTTAAGAAAATCTCCTAAATCATACTATAAGGGATAGTTTAAGTCCGTATAAGGCTTTCTTCAGGTTACAAACTTTATTCTCACTCAAAGATCGTTGTTACTAGTGTTATCTCTATTAAACCTCTTCGAGATTTCCATTTAGGAATGCATTTTGTATATCAAATTGTCATAGTGACCAATCTCTATTTGCAACTATAAACATAATTATCCGGATTATATTGAGTTTAGCGATTGGTGCAAAGGTTTCTTGGTAGTCTACTCCATATCTTTGCATGTACCTTTTGCATGTACCCTTTGCCACCAATCTAGCTTTGTACCTATCAATGCTTCCATCTGCCTTTAGCTTTATAGTAAACAGACACACCTACATCCAATGGTTCTTTTTCCCTCTGGTAAGGGCACGAGTTCCCAAGTAGAGTTCCTTTGCAAGATTTCATCATTCATTTCCTTCTTCCAATTTGGATCCTCCAATGCATTTTACACATTACTAGGGACAAATATAATGGATAATTGATCAACAATAAGAGCATATGACTCTGACAACCTGTGATTAGACACATAGTTACTAATAGGATATTTAGCTTTAGTATTGGGTCAGGTTATACAGCTTATTTGGGACACCCTTATTAATCCTATGTGATCTTTTAAGAGTTATGTCACCAGAATCAATCATGGTTTTAGTAGGAATATCAGGAAACACAATGACATTCTGAGAGATATTTTCATTAAGAGGAGTAGGATTAGAAATTATCTCTATTGGGTTATGGTGGTCCCGAAGAGATCCTTCAGTTTTTGGTGTTAAAAAAGGTATTTCTACAGTTATTAGTGAGTCATATAGCATGATTTCAGCTTTCTACACACCTGTATGTGTTACCTCAGTTCCTTCTCCATTCAAGTTGGCTAATAAGTCTTGCTCATCATAACAACTCTCCCCTCGAAGAGGAGACCTAGAAACTCCCCTTGAATAATAAGGTTCAAATTTCCCAAAAGAGACATCTAGAGTGATATATAATTTTTGTTGTTGGGGATTATAACAGCGGTATACTTTTTGAACATCAGAGAAACCAACAAACACACACCTTTTAGCACATAGATCCAATTTGTCACGTAGTGCTTTAGGAATATGAACATAAACCATTCATGTAACCTAACACACGAGGCTCAAGATTAGGAATATGGGGAACTAAAAGTAGTGATTCAAACTTCTGTTGCAGAGCCACAAAGTTGAGAACATTAGAAGGGATACGATTAATCAGATAAGGATAACAAATGTTGAATCCCCTGGTGATTCAAACTCCATAAGTTGTTTATTCTTCTTTTCGACCAAACCATTTTGCTATAGTGTATAAGTACAAGAGGTCAGAAGTCTAATCCCATGGTGATTCAAGAAATGTGAAAAAGATTTATCTTTATATTCAATCCTATTATCAAACTGTAAAATTTGGATCCGATATTGAATTTGAGTTGCTACCATTAGGTGAAAGGTTTGGAAGGTTGTAAATACATCGCTTTTCTTATGCAACAAAGTGACCTATGCCATTCGAGTACATTTGTATAAATGTGACAAAATATTGAGTTTTAACTAGAGAAAGGACTGTAATCGGTTCCTAAACATCCGAGTGAACAACTTCAAAAGGAATTGAACTTTTATTACTACTAGAAAAATAGAAAATATATGATTTTGGTCAATTTACATGTATTACAATGGAAATCAACACTATTCAAAATAGAAAATAATTTTGGATGTAATTTTTTCATATAAGCAAAAGAAAGATGTCCTAGTCTTCTATGTCAAAGCCAAATTATTTCCCGAGCCTTATCTTGACTACTAGCATGATTGGCTTGTCCCATTTCTTTTGTCTATTTCCAGTAACCTCCATATAATGAATTTTGTCTCGCTTAACACTATGGCCAAGAGTCTTTCGGGTGGAAATGTCCTGGAACACACAAAATAAAGGTCAAAAGGTGATGTTATAGTTTAAGGTATTAGTAAGTTATCCTATGGAAAATAAGTTATATTCAAGGGAATGGACAACCAAAACAGAAGTCAAATGAAGATGCTCAGACATGATAAGAGATTCTTTACCAGTGATAGAAGAGGTACTACCATTAGCAGTAGAAATAAATGACTGGGACAAAGGGGAAAAACAATGCAACTGACTAGAGTTATCCTATGATAAGAAACTCCAATGCCAAATATCCAAATATCATCTCTAAAACATGCAGAGAAAATAAAGAGTTTTACCAACAGTACTTGAGCAAGCAACATTGATAGTGGGCTGCAGGGGGCTTGCATCAGAGGTAGTGGTAATTGCTTTACTAGGGAGTTTCTCTCTAGGGCGCTCGGTTAAATTCCACTATTCAGGATAGCCAACAATTTCATAACATCATTCTTTGGTATGTCCTATTTCACCTCAATGGGAGCAAACAAGATTATTTGGCTTACCATGATTATTATTCTTGTAGGGCTTGCTGCTGTTAGATGAAGAATCCTGCCGAGATTGATCATCTAACAATTGCTGAGTTTTCTAGAATGTCCCAAAGGCCTCTCATTGTTTGCCTTTGTTGTTGCTCCTTGCGGACAAATGCATATGTGCTCTCCAACTCAAGCTTCGCCTCCTTACGCAAGATTTCACCACGAACTTGATCAAATCCAGGGTCTGATTCTCGAAGGAAAATATGAACCCTATATCGAGCCATAGTAGAGTGTAACTGAACCATACCTTCAACAGAGTCAGCTTGAGAATTGGTGTAGTGATAAATCTCATCTCCGAAAATTTTTCCAGAAGTGTAGAATAATATGTAGAAATGGGTCTCTTATTTTGAATGGTGGTAAAAGATTTTTGGTTCAACTCAAAAAGCAATGTTCATCTGAGCCATCATAGAATGTTTTTGAAATGGAATTCCATATTTCAAATGTTGTTTGGTAAGCGAATGAATCGTTGCATAAGGTGAGCACTCATAGAATCAATAAGGTGAGCACTTACAACATCAATAAGCCAACTTTTTACGTGCTGGTTATTGGTGACCCAAACATTATATGTTGGATCTTCGGGCTTTGGCTTCTTCGTGGCACCGATGAGATACCCACTCTTATTTAGAGTGTCAATACGTAGTTCTATCAATTGAGATCAAAGTGGATAGTTTTTTTCTATTAAGAATTGTGGTAAGTATGAATGAGGAATTATTGTGTTGAATAATGATATTATGAGGGAAATAAAAAGTAGTGGTGCTTGGGATAGTGAAAGAAATGCGAAGATCATTTGAGAATTACGCTTCAAGTATGAATACAATGTGAGACATATTTTGAAGTCCCTTTGTTGGATTAGTAAACTTTGTGGTGTCATATTAAAAAGTGAAATCTATAGAATAATAATTCATTTGTATTTCTTCTACCTCAATAAAGGTCATTATATTCAAAGTTTGGAGGTTACAAATTAGCCATAAATTAAGGACGAAAATTACAAATAATTCAAAAATTAAAACTCCTAAATCTCTCCACATAATACCTACAATCTCTTCATGTAATGGAACCCCTTAAATTGCTACATAAATTGGTCAATTAAATTAGAGATTAAATCTTTCCATTTATAAAAAATATACAACTCGACAACCACTTTTTCTGTAAATTATACCTCTCATTTTAGAGGAGTCAAATCCATTGACTAATAAAGACATACCATGTGAATCCATACTTAAGATTTATATATATTAAATTATTTACTATAGATATAACATTACATAATTTAAGTAGGCAAAATGATAAGTGAGGTTAACTCAAGCATAATGAATGTGCAACACGCACTCAAGTAGTATTTGCAAATGAGTATAATTTGTCGGGTCAGCTCATTTAACCCTCGCATTTGGCAAGTTGGGTTATAAATACTAACTCACAAACTGTACTAATCTACTACTCGTAGATATGGGTTCTAACAAACGTGTTGGGTTAGGTTGGCCCATTAAGTTTGTCTATGTGTGTGTTTTATATGTCAGGTAATTGGGTTAAATTGCTTAGGGTTTTCTTACCCATTTCTAACCTTAATCCTTTTTCTTGTTGCGGCTGTGACCTTTTCTTCCTACCGCGACCCATCCTTCCTACTACCACCCAATAAGGAAGAACATCACTTACGACCCTTGCTTCCTGTTGTAGACATGCAAAGAGACGGCTACAAGCGTCAAGGGAATGACAATTGTTGGACACAGATGCACCACTGGAGCGAGATTGATTCCAGGTAATAGAATATGTGTGATATTTGAAGTGATACAAGATCAAGTATGATAGTTTCCCGATATAAGATCAGTTTTTTGTTATTTTCTTACCATCTAAATTTTACATATTTTTCTTGTCAAAATTTCCTTATGAGGTCATTTTTCTTTGGTTATTGGCTGGTTGTTGATTCTTTAAATTGAGTATGTTGGTTTTTCTTATCTATTTCAATTCATTTGTATGTATGATTGTATTCTTATAGTTATACAATTGCTTACTAGTATTTGATTGTCTCGTAAAACTATTTTGCAATGTCAGTCCAAAGTTGCAGGACTGACTAAATTTGTACTTGATTAAATTGTTCATTCAACATGAATAAAAATATGTATTCTTAATTGTTCTATTGCCTAATAATATGAAATTGTGCTAATTGACTTGTTTTGTTTTTGGTTTAAAATAGCTTGTCATTTGGTGATAAATGCTTGTTGTTATATAAACTCATTATGTTGTGTATTTTTTGTCATTAACAATGCCATTTGATTTAGTTTATAAGTTTGTCCACATAAATGGTTCTTATTTAATTCATTCATAACTAATTATGAGACTTCATTACTTATCATTTACTCTTGAATTTTTAATATTCTCCCCCTAAGTGTGAGACCCAGGTTTAGTTTGCTCCTCCTTAAATTAAGGTCTCTTTGTGTATTAATAAGGGTTATAAACCAATAATGGCTAGCCTTGACTCTACAGTATGGGTTTGGAAAGCACAAATCTAAGTACCAACCACTACCTCCAAATACTCAGCCTAATCAAACCATTTGCTCTGATGCCTTTACTAGTTCGACACGGAGAGCCCAAAACAGGGGAGACATCCATCAATTTTCTAACAGGAAACCTAAATCATAATAAGGGAATTCAGTGCCATATATCAATTCAAAATCTTAAGCCATTGAGTATCTAGGTCAATCCACTAATATTGTACACACTTAGTCCATTCCCTATAAAAAATGAAACTTCACTACTCATCACTTTTCACTCACACTTGAATTTTCGACGTGAATATTATTGGGTGATGTTATATTAATGATTTTATATCTCTTTAACACATCCCCTCATCCAAGAGCCCTTTGGGCTTGAAGCGTGGATATTACACATGCCCATTTCTTTGTCTTCCTTATGCCGCATATGCCCATTTTTGATTACCTTATACTTACTTAATTCCTTGACAAAGTGGGGGACAGTGAGGATCAAACATGTGACCACTTGGTCACTCCAGCTCTGAAACCATATAAGAACTAATTCAACCCAAAACTTTATGACTTTGGATGATATTACATTAATGGTTTAGCTTGTGCTTACTTAATTGTTAATTCCATCACAAGGTGATGGGCGTGAGAATCGAACACGTGACCATTTGGTCACTCAAACTCTGATACCATGATAAGCATCACTTCAACACAAAATCTTAAAACATTGGATGAGATTATATTAATAATGATTTTATATCTCTCTAACACAATAGGCTTTTCGCCTATACAAGCTTCCCGCTTGCAAATAAATCATGGTACATCAAGGCTAACATCTATTGTTATTAGCATACAATTACCTGATTAAGTCTCACCCCAAAATCAATTTCAAAATCATAGAACATAATATATCAATCATAGGTAAATCACAGCTTCATAAATAACCACACAAATGTTGGAATATTTCTCAAATATTCAACCTTTAAATTTATAACTTCCAAAATGTTTCTTAATTCTATCAAAACGAAATCAAATATTATATAAGCAATATAGTAGTAACATCAGTAATTCCAGAAATTCTATATTTTTCAACATCATTCAAATAATAATGTAAAACCTTTCAAATGTCAAATTATAAGAATATAAATATATCAATTTCGTAATATATTCTAAATTATTTATCAAGTACAGTTAAAATAAACAATTAAGCAAATCGTTGATCTTTGTTTTATGCCACCTTGTTACTTAAAACATTTAAATACCAAACACTTTATTTTTTTATATATAAATAATGAGATTCTATTTTCTCATGTTATGAGAGATAATTATCTTCTACTATAGACACATGATATAGTGGAACCCACTATCTATTAAAAAAAAATGGTGACACGATTTTTAAGGTGAGAACAGTATGAGATAGTTATCTCATGTAAAATGAGATAATGATTTCTCATAAATAATAGATTAACTAATAACAATAAAAATTAATTATAGTTTGGAATTGTAAAACCCCCACTATTTACTTAGATATACACAACGTCGATGGAATAGAGCTCTTAAGATAATTTCCAATCAGTTGCATTACTTGACTTCGTAACATGACCCTGTTGTTACCAACGCTAGTTGTTTCCATTGCCCAGCCACGAGGAAGACTTAGTTTCGCATCAATAGCAGTCAAAACGAGGAGATCCTCCATATAGAAAGGCCATATATAATATCGGTAGATATAGGAATTGAATTCTGCACTCAGTGAACGTTGAAGACTAATCCAATAGAGCAAGAAGGAATATAGACAATACTTTACTTTTCACTTGTCATTGCTTGAAATGATTCAATCGGGTGAAGAGAAAATTTGGTGGCCTTAGTCAATCCAATTTAGAGATGTCAAAACTGCCCACATGAATAACCACTTTCTTTGTAGAGGAAAGGTTCATCTTCGTGGATAATCATAAAGAACCGAACCATAGCTGAGATTTGGAGCTTTGACTTAAAAAGCTAAAACCCAAAGTTATGGAAGAATATGTGGTTCGGGTTGAGAGAGTGAAGTTCTAAATTTTGCGGAAGTCTAAACACATGCGAGGCTGAAATCTTAAGCGCCCTACAATATATAGAAGGTAGTGAAGGTTGGTTGTATCTAGAGGTGGCAAAGTGGTGGCTAGGGGTGAAACTGGGTCGGGCCGGCCTACAGGGGTCTACGGCTCGGCCTACACCAGGCTAGACCTAACCTAGTACATTTTATATAATAGGTCGGGCTCGGGTCTTAAAAAAACCTGTTTAATAAAAAGGCCGTAGGCTCACTTTCAAAAGGCTGGCCTATATTGTACTATTTATTCTAAATAAAATAAAATAGAGTCAGTATGCCTTGAAGAAAAAAAAATATAAATTTAATCAATTGCAATTATATATAACTTAATCATATTCGATTATATTTTAATAGAAATCTTACTTTATTTCTTATATTGGAAGAACCAACATCTCAACATGTTAGATTGTGTATATGAATATATTAAAAGATTTTTGGCAGAGGTTATACTTATTAAAAGTATCATGATGTGTTTGTTGGATTCATGTAGTTATTTTTTTTTTTGATAACATTCATGTAGTTATTTTAATTTACATAGTATGAATTTGTTTGTTGGATCTGATGAAATATATGTTATTTAATTTGAGCATTTTGCTTTTGAAAATGACTTAAATGCATATTGTATTAGTTTTGTTATGATTCATGATTTTGTTTGGACGTTGAAATTATGATTTTTGGTGTAGCAACAGAATTTGAGTACTTTGTAAAGATGATTTATGGTTCTGCTTGAAAGTTAAAAATTAACAGGCTAACGGGTCAAACCAGGCCATTTTTTTTTTCACAAACGGGCCAAACCAGGCTAACAGTTAGACTCATACTAGGCTTGGGCCGGGCCAAATAGAAATTTTTTGACGTAGGCTTGGGCTTTTCGGGGTAAAGTTCGGCTCAGCCCAGCCCACTTTCACCCCTAGTGGTGGCCCATTTCATCCTGCCATCAATTCGTCAAAAAATGAGTTAGTCCATCCCGACTTATTATGAGTTGAAAAACTCGGTCCGCCCCTGTCGCATTTGACGGGTTGGACGGATTGACCTGTTAGCCCGAACTTATTTTATACCGATCCGCCTTAGCCCGCCTATGTCTGCAATCAACTCGCCAAAAAATGAGTCTGCCTTCGTTGTCCCACTTTTGAAATGGATTAAAAAATTTAGTCTGTCCCGCCCCGTTTAGCGAGTGGGGCGGGTCGATCCGCCGAGGTGAGTCCGTTTTTTTGGCTCTAGTTGTATCCGAAGGGATAAGAACTCTAATTGAAGCGATTAATATTCCTGAAAAATAAATTTTATCTTCTATATATATATATAAAAGTATGTAAAATTTATATAAACTTATTTGAGGAGAAAAAAAAGAAATATAAATGTTATATACTTTTATTATAAATTTATTTCTTATAATATGAAAAATAATGAATTTAATATTTAAATTTTTGATACACCGTGAACTTAAGAACAAATAAATTTGCAAAAAATAATTATAATATTTATGTCAGATATGTCTCTATATATCTCCTTATTATGGAAATGGATCCTCTGTCTCTTTCTTCGTTATTATTAATTTGACTCTATTTATTTAATTAGAGAGATATATATAAATTTTTATATAATCAACTAAAATGAAATTTTTATATGAAATTTTAAGACGAGAATACGGAACAGTGATCATTTTGTCACGCTTCACCAAATTATTTATCAGACTGCCACGCCAATAGAAAAATTTACGGAATGCCACGCGGCATAATCCGCTACATTGTGTAGCGAAATACGTGGACAAGATATCATAGTGCACAGTCAGCAACATGACATGTTTCAAGCCAGTAGTAATTTGCTACTCAGTGTAGCGAATTACTCATCCAACAGAACTTTGCCACATCATCTTGCCACATCACTTTGACTCCGTATTTCGCTACACTGTGTAGCGAATTATTCTTCCAATTGAAATGTGCCACATCAGCAATCATAATTCGCTATACAGTGTAACAAATTATGTCACGTGATATTCCGAAAATTTTTACTGTTGACGTGGCAGTCTGATAAATAATTTAATGAAGTGTGACACTTTGATCACTGTTTTTGAGATACACTCCCTCTATTATTGTCTAGATAAAATCATGCTGACGTTGCACTTGTGTAAGCATTTCGACATACATTGCTGGGATTTGGATCTTTCTACCATATCTATATAAAAGATTCTCTTGTCAGAAT